AATTCGATTTCAGGAGAAAAGCCTCGGGGATATCTGCTTTTCGCTTCGATATGTGCCCACTGCTGGAAAACTGACGGTGGTTATACTGGAAGCGAAAAATTTGAAGAAAATGGATGTTGGTGGCTTGTCAGGTGGGAGCGAAAGAGATTTTCAAAAGCAAAAATCTTAAAAGTAATGTTAGCATATTTTTTCAATACAGATCCTTATGTAAAACTGGAAATTATCGAGGCGAAAAAGCGTCTACGAAGAAAAAAGACGGCAATCAAAAGAAAAACCTTGAACCCATATTATAACGAAACTTTCATATTCGACAGCTTGCCTTTAACAAAAATCAAGGTATTTTGCACGAATCAAGTCGTTTACTGCTCATAAAACATGCTTTCGCTATAGCTGACAGGCAATCTTTCGCCAAAATTTTAACAAATCTGCTGATTTGCCTCATCTGTGCTGCAATACCCTCTAAAATGGCTAACCCATCACGATCCACTAACATGCATGTTCCACTAACGCTTTTCAGATCCCTACGTGAAGATTGTTTTGATGCAAGGAGGAAAACGACTGAAAAAGAAGAAAACGTCTATTAAAAAGTGTACATTGAATCCATACTATAACGAGTCGTTCTCTTTTGAAGTTCCTTTCGAACAAATACAGGTGTGTTCCTCTCTCTTTCGTCATTTATATCAATACTAGAGAAGCCAAGGAACTCAATGGAGTGAACTCTCTGATATCTTAATCACAAACTGGCCTTTGATTGTTTATTTTTTTAATCTTGAAAATTCTCATTCTTCAAATAGCTGATAGTGTGAAATTCGTTTTCACCGAACTTTATCACTTTATGACCCGGATGTTTTCTTCAAAAAAGTCGCCCTCGTTTATTTGTCTGTGAATGACGTGAAAGGCTGAAGATATTTTGAGCGCTGTAATATCTTAATTTAAAATGAAAACAGATGTGCCATTTACCACCTTAATTATTTTTCTAGACGACAGCATTTTCTAATGTTTAATCTTCCATGTTGCTAAAAGAGAGTAATTCGCATGTTTGCGTCGAGGAACCAATGAAAAAGGTTACCATTCTTTGAAAATAAGAAGCCCGGAAAAAAAAGCGAGATAAAATCAAAAAATTGGGTTTAGTGATTTGTCCTATAGCTTCGAGGAGTATAGTTTCTATACCACATCCATTTATTATATTTCATCGATTCTTTTTCATTCTGGCCCATTTCAACGGTAGTACAACTCTAATATAGCAAAACTGTCAAAAACCGACATCTAAAGCTTCCTTTGATTCAGCTTTTCATACGGATCATCTAGAGGGACAAAATATATTTGTTGGATACTCGGAGCCGTTTTTTTAAATTAAAAAAATAGTGAGAAAACGAGTTTTGGCAACACGATATTCAAAGGGAGTCTCCCTTAAAGAATTGGTACACCTACTGCTTCTTGCTTTGCTAACACAAAGATTATGTTGCAACTTCAGGGTCTTAAAACACTCAACCGACTAAATTTTAATCGAATATGAGAAGCCACGAATTGCTATAATGGAACTTATTGCGGTACTTGGATGTGCTGATTACGAAATCAAGTTCATTTACTATGATATCACAATCACAACCATGATGGGATCCGAGAATGAATCAGTGTTTTGCCTAAAGATTTGTTTATTGAAGTGGAAATGCTGGTGAAAATCATATATAATTCACGCAATAGGCTTTTGCTGTACGATTGGTAGAAATATTGCAGAGCCTAAACCACCAATTTGCTTGAAAAGAATTGAGTGATTTTGTGCTTACCTAACGATGGCTTTGCTATGGGAATTAGATACGATTTCGCAATCAGCATGTCCGTGAACTCCAGTGAACCATTTTCTAGGCAAATCACTGATTTTGCCCATTCTTATGCTTACCAATAATACAGTAAGGTCTTATCGTAGAAAATGATGATTTTCGTGATCGCATAGCCAAATATCTCAACAAGCACCATTAATGCAATTTCAAGCCTCTCGTTTTTATTTTAAAAAATTTATATTAAGAAATTTGACCTTTTGGGTATTTTCAATCAGTTTTTATTTAGCACAATCCAAGTCATTGAAAAGCCAGATATATCATAGAGGAAGACTTCTTCTTCCAAAAACTTATATATGGTTTTTTTTGGTTTCCCGAGTCTAAAAAAGAACACATCTTCGACAACCCAATGGCTTCACAAAAAAACTTTTTAGTTCATTTTTGAAAAAAATTAAGATCTTCTATAGTACCCAAACCTTGTATATTGATTGGCTAATAGAAACTTGACAAACTCTATTCTGTTTACAATGCACAGCTGTTGAAATACGGTACTTACGTTGAAGTCTTTATACAGCTATATGCTACTAGGTACTGTGATGAACAACGAAGTTGGCAGTTGACCTTTATCGCATAAAATGAGAAGGAAGGGGTCGTTTGTTGCTATGGCTCAATAAAAACTTAGACTTCTACTAATCATGCTCAAGATAAGTGCGTTGAGGACTACGAATTCCGGGTAGATGAGCTGCACCTTAAAAGAATTCATGCGTGAACACCCTTGAAG